TGTGTCAGAACATTATAGCTTATGCTATTGTGTAGGCTATAGTGGGGTATCCCATAGGGGGTACAACCCAAATAGGGTTTCATATTTGTACTCGCTTCTTTTATAGTTCACATCATTCTCGTTCTAATCTTTTCAAAGGGCTTTTTTACCTTGCGGACTCGTTTACCTTTACCAAACTCCTCACTTGGCTAAGACACATTAGTGGTAGGGTTCGGTCTCACAGTGTTTGATTGCGTTGATGCGGTCATTTGCGGTTGAGACTACGGCTGCGACATCGGCTGCGACGGCGGCACGACTGCTTGTTCTTCTCCTGGCGTGGAAATATCTTGATTATCGATGTTGACTTGAGGATTAGGTATGGTGACTCGTGGCGGTGAAGCTGAAATGTTTGTCGGCATAATTGGTTGTGAAGATGCTCTTGGTGGGGATCTTGAAACTAGAAGCTTGGGAATTGATGATGACGCTGCTTTGTCGAGAGGTGGTGATTGTTGGGGCTGGTTGGTGTTGTTGCTCGGTGTTGAAGATGGTGGTAACTGATGACGACCGAATCCGGGACGTGGGGGTGAAGTTGAGAAAGGTCTTGGGTGAAGAAGTGGACTGTTGGAGCTGGTGTTGGTGGTGACTCGCTGAAGTGATCCTCGTGCTATGAGTTGGCTTGACGTTGGAACAAGTGATGAACGTGTGGTATGAGAACGAGGTGTTGCGGTGACGGTTGACTTGTTGCTAGGAAGAGTCGTAGATGGTGTTGATGTAGGTACTTGGGGTCTTGTAGCTGTTGATTGCTGCTGCATGGGATGATGATGAGCTTCTGTAGTTGCCTCTGGAGTGATGGCTGGTGATGGGTTTGATGGCGTAGTGGTGGGCTGATCCGGTTCGCGTTGAAATTGTGAGGTTGGTGTTGATATAGCTGGCTGGTTTGTGACTGTTGGCTGCTGCTCCTTTGGTGGTGATGGAACGGTGACTTGTTGCGGTGGATTGTCTTCATTTGATGGCTGAACTTCATCTCCACTTGGTTGAGTAGCTGCTGGTGGCACTGGCGTGGCATGGCTGGACTCGTTGACGACGGCTTGAGGGAGATCGATGATCGGTCCGCTATGGTCAGAATCGGTGTCATCTTCTTCCTCCTCTTGTGTTGTTTCCTCAGGTGCGCTTGCTGGTTCCTGTTGGATAGAGGGTAGAGAGGAGGAAGAGGAAAACTTATGCCAACCTGCAAGGGACATGTCTTCATAGAAGACAACATCCCTTGAAACCACTTCTCGCTTGGTGACAGGATCCCAAAGGACCCATCCCTTGCTCTCATTGCTCATGCCGATAAAGAGGCCCCAATAAGCTTTGCTGTCCAGCTTGAGTCTCTTTGCATCTGGAACACGGTATTGGGCCATGGAACAAAAAACACGAAGCATAGACAGATCTGGTTTAACTCCAAACCAAGCCTCATATGGCGTTACACCATCCCGTAAGGGCCTTGCGGGTCTCTTGTTGCGAACATAAATTGCCATAGTGATTGCCTCAACCCACAAGAGCTTGTCAAGGCCTTTGAACTGAAGGAAAGTGGTAGCTATAGCCTGGATGGTGCGATGAAACCTCTCTGCCACTCCATTTTGCTGAGGACTATAGGGACAAGTGAACTGTTGTTTGATGCCCAATGCCTACAACTCCCCCTGAAACGCTTTCCCAATGTACTCACCTCCTCGATCCGACCTCAAGGTGAGTAACTTCTTCCCTGACTCTCTCTCAACAAGTGCTAGCCATTGCTTGAAACACTTGTGAACTTCATCCTTGGTGTTGATGAAAAAGGACCACGAGAAACGACTCTTGTGATCAATGAAAGACACCAAATATCTCTTACCGTTTCGAGTAGGGTCTCGCATGGGGCCGAAGACATCAGTGTGGACCAACTCTAGGAGGTCCCTTGACTGAGACTTAGAAGGGAAGAATGGCTTTCTAGCTAGCTTACCTTCCACACAAGATGGACATGGAACGGAAGAAAGAGACTTGACTGCACTTTCACTCAAACTCAATCCTTCCACGCTCTTGTGATTTACCAACTCTTTCAATGCTTGCACTCCCACGTGCCCCAAGCGTGCATGCCATACCTCAGCTTGGGAGATACTCCCTTTGTTGTTGACTTGATCGGTTGAAACAGCGGGAAGCGAGACAACGTTGTTCTTCGTGTTGCTAGCACCGCACTTAATCTCCAACTTCATCTTGTAGAGCCGCCCGGTACGCTCGCCTTCAGCCACCAAAATTCCTGCACTGTCCCACACTTTGGCTTTCCCCCCTTGCAAGAGAACGGAGGCACCTTTCTCTTCGAGCTGTCCGGCTGAGAGCAAGTTTGCTCCCAAATCAGGAACAAACAAAGCTTTATTGACACAAAATGACTTACCATCCTTTTCAAACTCAAGCTTGCCGACTCCTTTGATTGGTACTTTGCCAAGATCAGCAAGAGTCACAGCTTTTGAGTCATATGAGGGCTGAAAATCCTTGAGAATGGACTGATAGGGAGTCATGGTTTCAGAGCAGCCACTATCAAGAATAAACTCCTCACTACTAGTAGGGAAAACGTGCATGTAAGTAGCAGCGTTAAAAAGGACAGGACCATCGGACTCTTTGGACTCATCTTGACTTGTAGAATGACTTGCTATATTTGCTATGGCTGCCTTACCTTTTTCAGATAGTAGCTGAGGTGGGGGGACCCAATTAGGAGGCTTCTTAGGACAAGCATACCACGGGTGACCCCACTCATGACAACAAAAACACTCAAAATTAAACTTTTTAGCATTCGGGGCTTCGCTGAAATTATTGACTCTTGGCGTATTGACTCTTGCATTCCTAGGCTGGTATTGATTGGGAATCGAAGGCCTTGGCTGGACATAGGGACTGGACTTATAGGGAGGACTTGACTGAGGAAAACGAGAGGGTTTGTATGGGTTGGAAGGTGACTGAAATTTCGTACCGTAGTAGGGTTGAGGGCGGTTTGGGCTGAAATTTCCTTGCCTCTGGAATTGGTTGCCATATCTTGTGGCTGCTGCAGCACTCCACGCACCTTCGTCACTCCGCTTGTTCCGTGCAAGGTCTCGACTCTGCTGCTCGTTGACAAGGGCCTCAAAGATGAACGCACGACTCTTCATTGACTACGGGAGCGCTTGTAGTGTTGCACGGAAAGTGTCCCACTCCGGTGTAAGGCCGGAGAGGATGACGGTCTTGAAAAGAGACTCTGGAATCTCCAAGCCGATCACTGCTGCTTCCTCCAACATTGCTTCAGCTCGTTGTAGGTAGGCTTGTGCTGATTCATCTTCTTCCATCTTCAGATTCATGAAGCGGCTCCACATCTCGGCTTGGCTGCTCTCGGATTTTGACTTGTGCATAGTCTTCAGTCAGCTCCATGCTTCCTCTGCACTGTTTGCCTTGGTAGAACAGGGCAGGAGCGACTTCAACTGCTGCTCGTGAATGCTATTGAGTAGGTAGAGGAAGGCCTCCTTGTTGCGTCGTTCGTAAAGTCGTTTTTCAGCTTCTGAAGCATCTGCTACTGGTTTGGCTGCTTCTCCAGTGTAGTAAGGCCACAGACCCAGAAGGGATGCAGTGAGCTCAAACTGAGTTGCCCATGTTGGAAAATATTTGCCGTTGAACTTGGGGAGGTGAAGCTTAGGCATGAAGGAGGTGAGTGGTGAGTATGTTGTTGAAGGACTGCGTGGTGCAACTGCTTCCACTAATCCAGTAGCTGCTGATGTTGACTCTGAAGCTCCTCCGGCTGGCTGGAGTGCAGGACCAGATGGATTGTCTCCCGCCATGTTCGTATGGTGCTAGGATAGGAACGTGGTGGGCTAGGTTGATCGAAACGACGAGCTGTGATACCAACTTGTAAAGCAGAGTAGCTGTGACTACTGGAGGGCTGGAAACTTGTCTGGAAAGTCTTAGCAGGGCTGCTGGAATTGACTGGATGAGGTAAAACTTCACTATGTTCAAGATTAACAAGCCCACTAAAGCACAACTCTATAGGCATCACAAACAAGACAGATTGAAAGCTCAAACTAGGCTGATAGACAATGTAACTTCCCTGGTAACTTGGGCACAATCTAGATTGGATGGACCTTGAGTGACTTTGAGTGCCACATGAGGTGCATGAATAAGAAAGCTCTGGATATTTCTGTAATAGCTGATTCTGATGTGTAGAAACCTGTAGAAACTGCCAACACTTCCGTTTGAAGGCAGCTTTGAACTGTATCGAGTCTTCGGCTGAAATCTGATTGGTGGTGGAACTTTCGAAGTACTTCCCGAAGCCTTTGATTCATCGCCGACATTCCCCCTTGCTGCTGGTTGTGTGCAAAGGGCTGGGGCGGCAGAAACTCGATTCTCCAACAGAGTCATTGACTACCGCAGGCGGTGACCAGGCCTGTCGAAGTTCCTTGGGCCCATACTTGGCGTCCCCAGCTCCTCCCTATCTGACCCTGTTTTGGCCGTAGCTGAGTGTTATGGCGCCCTTACTGGTCACGGGCGCAGGCCAAAGTGAAAACTTGATATCCGGGCTTGCACTTACACTAACTTAGCCAAGGGAAAGCTCGGCTGCTCCAAAGCTGACTTAGAGATATCACAAACACGGGATTGTCTAGAAAACGCTAAGGGAATAATCCCCTTGGCGCACTCTCGTGCAACCTAAGGAGAAGGGGGGGGGGGGGGGGGGGTCCTAGAACCGGAAATCAGAACTTTGTGGGTGCGGAAGGTCTGGTTGGAGCACTTAACGCATCCCGGGAAGGGTCGAATGAAGCACTTAGTGGCACGGGTGCAGGGCGATCGTAACACTTTATGCAGTCGAGCTGGAGCGAAAGTAGCCCTGAATGTCAGGGCATTAAGGGCATATGCCCGTCAATCGACAGGCCTGGCGGTGACTCCAGTGCTGTGCGTCCTGCACGAGAGGTGAACGCCGCTTGCCTTGCGTGAGTGATTTGACATCACCCGATCACAATATTCCGTCAGGATCGAAATCGCGCGTCTGGTTCGCCATGGCACAGAATCGAGCACGCGATGAGCCATCAGGTGCGAGCACGGGGACCGCGCTGGGCGCAGCGAGCCCTGGCCAGGCACAAGCTCGGATCTCGAGCGAGGGAAAACAGGCCTCGTGCCGTCGGAATGTTCCGTTTTCTCAACGGCCGCAAGTTCATCATCATTTCGTCGATCTATTGCGCAGCATCAGGCGTCCATCTAGCAAGGTTTCGCGCCTAGCAGTGGCCTTTGCTCGCAGCCTTTCCTCGCCACGCTCTCCGTGAGAGTTGACTCGTGAGCCATCAAGGCGGGTGCCTGAGGCCCACCCTCTCAGCCATATCGTTCAGCCATGCTGCGCGCCCTTTCGCTGTGCGATTCTCGGGAACCGTCGCCACTGCGGCATGGAGAAGGACAACGGGAAAGTACTGAAGCCTATTTAGTGATAAGCCACACTTAGGCTTACAGTGCTTGCAGAAAGGAATGAACTGCGTTTCCTCATTTGAAGCCTCGCGCACCGTAAGCCTATTATTGTTTCCCCGCACGGCGGAATGAGCTGCGTGGACGACCCGCACTGCGCGTTCAGTTGGACGGACGGCCCGCTAGGAAGCAGCAGCCCCTCCTTCGCCTGCGACCTCGTCGCCGTCGCGCATCGCCCTTCGCCCTTCGTGCTCCTCTCACCACTCCCCATGTGCGCAGACTCACGCGCCGCGCTGGCGAGCTCGAGTGTGCGCGAGCTGATGGAGCGATGCGAAGCTGAACGGCACGACACGTGGCAGCAGCGCTGGTGGAACGGCGCGGCCGCCCAGCAGAACCACTCCGCTGCGCTCCCCGTGCGCGCCCCGGAGAACTCCGCGCGGGTCCCAGCGTGGGGCGCAGCAGCAGGCGGCGCTTTGACCCACTTGCAGCCACTGCTAGCCGCAGCAGCATTGGGTACAGCAGAGCTATGGGGCGGCAATGAAACCGCACACAACGACGCACAAGCAAGAAGCTGTCTGAACGGGCTGTGCAGCCCCACTCACAGTTGGCGAGAGGCAGCAGAGGCGTGTCCCACACGCTCGCCTCCACGCCGCGGTGGCGCTGCTGCAGCAAGCACCACAGGCGGTGCAGACGACGCGGTGAGCAGGGCCGGTGCTGCTAGCACAGGTGGGGCACAGGGTGCGCGTGGGTGTAGCGCGGTGGAAAGGGAGGGCGCGAGAAGGACACCATCGGGCCGTGGCAAGCTGAGGCGCTCCTCAACAGCCGGAGCAGCCATGTTGGCGGGAGGAGGAGAAGAGACGGGCGGCAGTGCAGATGAGAGCGCGTGGCGTGCAGTTAGTGGCGCCGGGGGGAGCCAAGCCACCGCTGCCCCACTCACCTCCTCTCGCCGCCTCCACTCGTGTGCGTCCGCTGCTGCTGCTGCCCCTGGGAGTGGCGGGCACGGTGCGGACGGGTGGATGTGGGAGTACCAGGGGTGCTGCGAGCACAGCAATTGGAACTTCAGCAGCGCCGCCCACTCCCCGCAGACACACCTTCACGTCGCTCACAGCACTGCCCGCACTAGCGGCTCCTCGTTCTTCTCCCCGTCGCACCACGCGCTCAACCCTGCCCACGACCTGCTGCCTGGCTCTGCTTACCTCCACCTCTCTGCGCTTGATGCCTGCTGTGCAGCAGCAGCAGCAGCAGCAGCAGCAGCAGCAGCAGCAGCAGCAGCAGCAGCAGCAGCAGCAGCAGCAGCAGCAGCAGCAGCAGCAGCAGCAGCAGCAGCAGCAGCAGCAGCAGCAGCAGCAGCAGCAGCAGCAGCAGCAGCAGCAGCAGCAGCAGCAGCAGCAGCAGCAGCAGCAGCAGCAGCAGCAGCAGCAGCAGCAGCAGCAGCAGCAGCAGCAGCAGCAGCAGCAGCAGCAGCAGCAGCAGCAGCAGCAGCAGCAGCAGCAGCAGCAGCAGCAGCAGCAGCAGCAGCAGCAGCAGCAGCAGCAGCAGCAGCAGCAGCAGCAGCAGCAGCAGCAGCAGCAGCAGCAGCAGCAGCAGCAGCAGCAGCAGCAGCAGCAGCAGCAGCAGCAGCAGCAGCAGCAGCAGCAGCAGCAGCAGCAGCAGCAGCAGCAGCAGCAGCAGCAGCAGCAGCAGCAGCAGCAGCAGCAGCAGCAGCAGCAGCAAGCAGCAGCAGCAGCAGCAGCAGCAGCAGCAGCAGCAGCAGCAGCAGCAGCAGCAGCAGCAGCAGCAGCAGCAGCAGCAGCAGCAGCAGCAGCAGCAGCAGCAGCAGCAGCAGCAGCAGCAGCAGCAGCAGAGCAGCAGCAGCAGCAGCAGCAGCAGCAGCAGCAGCAGCAGCAGCAGCAGCAGCAGCAGCAGCAGCAGCAGCAGCAGCAGCAAGCAGCAGCAGCAGCAGCAGCAGCAGCCAGCAGCAGCAGCAGCAGCAGCAGCAGCAGCAGCAGCAGCAGCAAGCAGCAGCAGCAGCAGCAGCAGCAGCAGCCAGCAGCAGCAGCAGCAGCAGCAGCAGCAGCAGCAGCAGCAGCAGCAGCAGCAGCAGCAGCAGCAGCAGCAGCAGCAGCAGCAGCAGCAGCAGCAGCAGCAGCAGCAGCAGCAGCAGCAGCAGCAGCAGCAGCAGCATGCAGCAGAGTGGTCGCCACGGGAGGCCACTCCCCCTTCCACGCCAGCCACACCTGCACTGCCGCCCATCCCCATTGCACCACCCAGCACTGCTCCTCCACCTCCCACGCCCAGCCTGGCACAGCTGCAGCAGGCCATCCCGTGTGCTGCTGTCACGGGTGCTGTGGGCGATGAGGGGAAGGCAGGGAGGTGGTGGGAGAGGCTCACACGGCTGAGGCGGCAGCGCTCGGACAGGCGGAGGCAGGCAAGCAGGAGCCGTGGCCTCTCTGTGCTGCTCACCTGCTGCGTGCACTGATCAGTCATTGTACCTCATCGCCTCGATTCCAGCCCCGGGCGTTTCTTGCTGTCATGTCATCCCCTCCAAAAAAAAGAAAAAGGTTAACAAAATGGGCGTACAAGGGGATCTAATCTAACTTAACCTGCCATTTCCCAAGAGGGTCTGACTAGTGTATGGCCAACCAAATACGGTCGCAATCTGCCATTGATTGTGTATAAAATTTTGTATTGTGTTGTGAATGTTTATAAAATACAGCAAGCATCCTGCCCCATGACCCTGACCCTGACACTGTCAGAGTCATTTGCAAGGTGCTTCTCCTCAACTCGGATTCTTGAGTGAAGTTGATTTCACACTGGAGCAGTCCCGTCCACATTAGGTTACAAAACAACTTACACACCTAGGGCTGTGTCCGGCCAGATCAAGTTACGGTACTTAACAGTGACTCCGCGGACCAGCAGATCAGAAGGCGGGGAAGGAGGGGTCGATGTGAGCCCCCCATGCGAGCATGCCACCATCCACACTCACTGCCGACCCCACTCCCGCCTCCCTCAGCACGCCCACCGCCCGCTGGGAGTCGTTGCCCCGCCGGCACACCACAAACACCGCCGCCTCCACCCCTCCCTCTCCCTCCCCCCCACACCCACCTCCTTGCTGCTCCTCTGCCGCTGCTGCCTGCTCACAGGCCGCTGCAGGTGCCTGCTGTGATGCTGTGGACGATGCTGACGTGGCAGCTGCCTGGGCGGCTAATTTGATCTCGTCCAGGGCGGCCGGCAGAGTGGCGAGGGGCGTGTTGATGGCGCCAGGCAGGTGGGCAATGGAGAAGAGGTGGGGCGGCCGCACGTCCAGCAGCACGTGCGGGCGGCGCTGCTGCCGGGCGGCGAGGAGAGCGGTGGGCGGCACTCGTTGGCTGGGAGGGATGAGAGAGAGGGACTTGGGGCCCTGGAGTTGGGCAAGGGGGGGAGGGACGGGAAAAGGGGGGGAGAAGGGGAGTGGGAGGGGGTGTTGGAGGGGTTGAGGCGAAGAAGAGAGTGGGAGAGTGGAGTGTGTGTGAGGGTGATGATGGAGATGCAGGTTGATGGGAGAGGGCATGCAGGCAAGGGATCCCATGGGATGGGATGGGATGGGATGGGATGGAATGGCACATGGTGCATGTTGGTAGAATGTAATGTGCAAAATACTTGAGTATTTGCATCCCATTCAATGAGGGGTTGAGTTGAGCCGGTCCCATTCACATTGCAGTTAAAACTCCCACACCAAAACTGGTCATGGAAGGGCGAGGAGGCACCTGGTCATGGAAGGGCGAGGAGGTGAAGGCCTGGTAGTCAAAGGCGCTGATGCTGTCTGCTGTCATGGTGGCGCCCTCCCCACACGCCACACACGACGCCACCCTGCTGCGTAGCTTCACCTGGCGATAGCACCGGGGGCACAGGCGAGCAGAGGGGCACAGGCGAGCAGAGGGGCACAGGCGAGCAGAGGGGCACAAGCGAGCAGAGGGGCACAGGCGAGCAGAGGGGCAGCAGCGGGTGGCCGAGGGAAGGGCGCACGGTGTGAGGGCAGGTAGACAGGGTGGGCACAGGCATGGTGGCATGGTGACATGGTGGCATGGTGGCATGGTGGCATGGTGGATGGTGGCATGGTGGCATGGTGGCATGGTGGATGGTGATGAGAGCATGGGACGCGTGCATGTCAATGCGGCATGCATGCATGCATGTACAAGGGAAGAAATAGGCCTACATTGAACTTAACCTTGCTTGTGTTTTGTATGGGTGGGGAATTGAATGCATGGGTGGGCAGGGCATGCATGGGTGGGCAGGGCATGCATGGGTGGGCGGGGAATGCATGGGTGGGCAGGGCATGCATGGGTGGGCGGGGAATGCATGGGTGGGCAGGGCATGCATGGGTGGGCGGGGAATGCATGGGTGGGCAGGGCATGCATGGGTGGGCAGGGCATGCATGGGTGGGCGGGGAATGCATGGGTGGGCGGGGAATGCATGGGTGGGCAGGGCATGCATGGGTGGGCGGGGAATGCATGGGTGGGCAGGGCATGCATGGGTGGGCAGGGCATGCATGGGTGGGCAGGGCAAGCATGGGTGGGCGGGGAATGCATGGGTGGGCGGGGAATGCATGGGTGGGCAGGGAATGCATGGGTGGGCGGGGAATGCATGGGTGGGCGGGGAATGCATGGGTGGGCGGGGAATGCATGGGTGGGCGGGGAATGCATGGGTGGGCGGGGAATGCATGGGTGGGCGGGGCAGGGGGCGAACGGACGTTGAGGAAGGAGGCAGCGAGGGCGTCGTAGACGAGCATGCGCGCTGAGAGGGGCGCGCCCACCCCCGCCACCACCTTCAGCGCCTCCACCGCCTGCAACACGCCTATCACCCCCGGCACTGCCATGCGCGCGCGCACAGGTGAGAGCAGGGGCGCGGGGAGATGGGACGTGCATGGGAGCAAGAGTGAAGCCATGAGGATAAAAAGGTGGGGAGAGAAAATACGAAGAGAGACGCGGAGCAGGCAGGGCAAGCAGAGGGGTGCGCACAATGGCATGCACATCAGGGCTCCGATCATGGGAGCAGTTCACATTGGCTCTTCCTGGGTGTGGGGCATGTGGGGCAGTGGTGCTGCTCCACGTTGCTCACGTTTCCCCCATCTCCCCACCAGCACATGCGCCGCACACCTCCTCTCCTCATATGCATGCCCAACCAACCCAACCACAACCTCGCCTACTAATGACTGGGACCCTCGTGCCATCAGGCAACTCACAGCCAGCTCATCAAGACAGCTAGAACTTTGAGAGGCTTTGGTTCGCGCATTGCTGTCCAAATGGGTTGAAACAATCTCAGACTGCAGGAGAGGAAGAAACACACCGTGATTCCTGCACCACTCACCTGCACCCCTCACCTGCGCCCATCACTCACCTGCGCCCATCACTCACCTGCGCCCATCACTCACCTGCGCCCAGCACGCCGCTGTCGGAGCAGCGTTGGCAGGCGGAGGTGGGAGGCGGCGAGGGAAAGAGGCAGCGGTAGCACGGCGCCGTGGGCGAGGCCCCGTACACCGTGATCTGATGGGAGGAGGGGGGGGAGGGGGGGGGATAGTGGACGAGAGGGAACTTGCACGGTGGGAAATAGGCCGGACTGCAGTGGCATGGAGTGCAGCATGAGGCACGGTGCAGTGGTAGCAGGGAGCAACGGGGGAGGGGGGGGCGTGTGGGGGGAATAGGAAAGAGGAGATGCAGGAAGAGAGAATAGAGGAGAAAGAGTCAAGAGAGGAACAGGGAGAGAAAGAGTTTGTCTATCCGGCTGTTGCGAACGGCAGCAAGCGGCAAGGAGGTAAGGCTGGGAAGAAACAAAGGGGCGGCCTCAGAGTGCGCTGCTGCTCTCCACCCACGCCTGCCCCCAACCCACACCTCCCACACTCCCGCCTTCACCCCGCCTTGCTAAACGCACCCAAGCCCTCCCGCCAGCCCCCCTGGCAGCCCCGCTTGCAGCCCCCCTGACAGCCCTCTCGCCTGCCCCACCTCTCCATGCTCCCATCCCCCATCCCTTACCCTCCTCCAAACCCATCCACCTCCCCGCACCACCTGCCCGCCCTTGTGCGCCTCACCTGGCCTTCAGTGCCCAGCGCTGCTCCTGACACGAGCGGCTGCACCCGGGCACAGGGGGGCGCAGGAGAGATGTGAGGCACGCACACAAGGCGGGCGGCAGGGGGTTGCCAAGACGGTGAGAGTGTGAAGATGAACACACATCAAGTGGACCCAGAGCATGGCAACTCAGATGCCCAGTTGGAGGAAGATGGAAAGAAGATGGAACAGCAGCGATGCGACGCTCACTTGATGCTATCTGCTCTCGCCTTGCATGCCTGTGCCACCTACCACTTCCAAGTTCAATATCAGCTCATTCACCGCAATGCTGCACTCTCCCACTGCGCTCACCCGTGTGGCGGCCTCACACCTTGCGCTCACCCGTGTGGCGGCCTCACACCTTGCGGGCGGCGACGGCAGCGTCGCTGGCGAGGTAGCGCGTGGCCACGTTGTCAGACGCGTCCAGCAGCACGTCGTAGCTGGGATGGCACGGGGGGTGGCGGATGGGGCAGGGCGGATGATGGCGGAGATGGGGGTGATGAGGACGGATGAGGGAGGTATGAGGGCGGCAGGAGGTCGGTATATAGGAGGCATGGAGGATGGAGGGAGGGAGAAGGTGGGACATGGTGTGGAGCTGAGCAGGTGTGGGCGAGATGGAATGAGGGAATGACGCACTCAGATGGCGCTGCGCTGCTTCACACGCCATGCGGAGGTGCGGGCAGCAGGACGGTCAGAACGCGAGAGGCATGGAGGGGAGAGGCATGGCGGGGAGAGGCATGGCGGGGAGAGGCATGGCGGGGAGAGGGAATACCTGGAGACGAGGTGGACAGCATTGGCGGGTGTGAAGCCGTGGCTGTGCGTCTCCACTGTGATGTCCGAGTTCAACCTGCTCCCCCATGCATGCATGCATGCAGCCACCCACCCACAACCCATGCACCGACACATACACACACAACCACGCACACACCACATGCTCTCGTGCACAGCTGTGATGAACAGCCATGGCCGCCTCAGAAGAGACGAGGCCCAACCCATGCCCCGTGCCCCATGTTGTGCTGCGCTCAGTGGGCGGGTCATCATTGTGCGCTCAGTGGGCGGGTCATCATTGTGTGCTCAGTGGGCGGGTCATCATTGTGCACTCAGTGGGCGGGTCATCATTGTGCGCTCAGTGGGCGGGTCATCATTGTGCTCTCCACTCACTTGGCAGACACACATAATATTTTCAAGCTGCCACCTGCTGCCAGCACAACCTCACTTGCTGCCAGCTCAGCATCACCTGGTGCCAGCTCAGGTGCCAGCTCGGCATCACCTTGTGCCAGCTCAACATCACCTGGTGCCAGCTCAGCATTACCTGGTGCAGGCAGCAGCAGCGGACTCTGTCTTGGGGCGACCAACCGCCACCTCCGAATGGATGATCTGCACCCCTCACCCACAGACAGGCAGGCAGGCAAGCAGGCAGGCAGGCAGGCAGGCAGGCAAAGAGGGCAGTGGTGGAGGCCGCATGGGGAACGGTTGATGGGGCAAGGGGTGAGTGGAGGCATGCAACGGATGAGAGAGCACAGGGAAGCGCCAAGGCCAGCAAGTATTTGACACACAGCAACTGTGAAAGAGTGAAATGGCTTTCTGCCTCTTCTTATCATTTCACCTGCCTGCGTTTCATCTCACCTGCCTGCGTTTCATCTCACCTGTCTGTGCGTTTCATCTCACCTGTCTGTGCGTTTCATCTCACCTGTCTGTGCGTTTCATCTCACCTGTCTGTGCAGGTTGGACAGCTCCACGTCATCCCTGTCCACGATGCCTATGCGCCCTGCATGCCATGCCATTCCGTGCCATGCCACAGCAAAACACGCACCGGGCGAGCAGCAATGCGTGTGGAATGGCATGTGGGATCGGGATGCATGAGAACACAACGTGTTACACTGGGAGTGAGCAAGAGAGGAGACACGGAAGGGTGAGCACGTCATTGCACAGGCATGGAGCGCCCACTCGCCGTCCCGCAAGCCAACCAGCACCATAACACGGTGCCACCTGCAGCAACCACCAACATCCACGTCACACTCGCCCACTGCCCCCACTACCCGCCCGCACTGTCCCCCCACTCGCCCTGCCCCACTGCCCTCACCACCCTCACTGCCCCCACCCATCGCCCCCCCGCACGCACCCACACCGCACGCCGCCAGGTAGAGCGCAGCAGGCGACCCCAGCCCGCCCGCGCCCACCACCAGCACTGACCCGCGCCTCAGCCGCTGCTGCGCTGGTGGGGTCAGGGGGAAGAGGGGGAAGAGGGGGGAGGGGGGCCGGGGGAAGGGCTTCGGGTTGGGGATAGGGTAGGGAGGCAGAGGGTAGAGAAATGGCGGCCAGAAGAATGTGCAGAGGCAGTGAGAGGCAGTGAGAGGCAGTGAGAGGCAGTGAGAGGCAGTGAGAGGCAGTGAGAGGCAGTGTGAGGCAGTGAGAGGCAGTGAGAGGCAGTGAGAGGCAGTGAGAGGCAGTGTGAGGCAGTGAGAGGCAGTGAGAGGCAGTGAGAGGCAGTGTGAGGCAGTGAGAGGCAGTGTGAGGCAGTGAGAGGCAATGAGAGGCAGTGAGAGGCAGTGAGAGGCAGTGAGAGGCAGTGTGAGGCAGTGAGAGGCAGTGAGAGGCAGTGAGAGGCAGTGTGAGGCAGTGAGAGGCAGTGAGAGGCAGTGAGAGGCAGTGTGAGGCAGTGAGAGGCAGTGAGAGGCAGTGAGAGGCAGTGAGAGGCAGTGAGAGGCAGTGAGAGGCAGTGTGAGGCAGTGAGAGGCAATGAGAGGCAGTGAGAGGCAGTGAGAGGCAGTGAGAGGCAGTGAGAGGCAGTGTGAGGCAGTGAGAGGCAGTGAGAGGCAGTGTGAGGCAGTGAGAGGCAGTGAGAGGCAATGAGAGGCAGTGAGAGGCAGTGAGAGGCAGTGAGAGGCAGTGTGAGGCAGTGAGAGGCAGTGAGAGGCAGTGAGAGGCAGTGTGAGGCAGTGAGAGGCAGTGAGAGGCAGTGTGAGGCAGTGAGAGGCAGTGTGAGGCAGTGAGAGGCAGTGAGAGGCAGTGAGAGGCAGTGAGAGGCAGTGAGAGGCAGTGAGAGGCAGTGTGAGGCAGTGAGAGGCAGTGTGAGGCAGTGAGAGGCAGTGAGAGGCAGTGTGAGGCAGTGAGAGGCAGTGAGAGGCAGTGAGAGGCAGTGTGAGGCAGTGAGAGGCAGTGTGACTTGCCACGCGCCGCGCACCTGCGACGCCGAACGACGGCAGCATGAGCTGCCGCGAGTAGCGCTGCACCTCCCGCGCGCTCAACGCGTGCTCCGCCTCGAAGCTGCGCCCCCCCTCGCCCACCCCGCCAGCCGCTTCTGTCCCCGCTCCCTCAAGTTCCGCGCCTCCCTTTGGTAACCCGCCATCGTCTCTATTCCCCCCATTCTCCCCCTGCGCCGCCCCAATCGCGGGGCCGTCAGCAGCCGGCGAGCGCGCATTCGATTCCGCTCCGCTCGCGCTCTCCACTCCGCCGCTGCGCTTCCCTCCGCCCGCTTCCCCGCAGTCCGCTTCCTGAGTCTCCTGCTTTCGCTTTCCGTCGTCTCCCCCTTCTCTCCGTCTCTCCCCTTCCGTCTCTCGCCCCTCCGTCTCTCGCCCCTCGCCTAGTCTCAACCGTCGATCTTCCTCATCCAACGCTCGCAGCGCCTGCAGCAGCTCCTGCCGGCGCGCTTGCACCGCTCTCAGCGCGGCCACTCTCTCGCCCGCGATCGCGCCGTCCGATTCGTCGCCCTGCATTGCTCGCCGCTGTCGTAGTGGCTGGTAACCGTGTGTTGCTGATTGTTCAACACAAATGATTGACAAAGAAAAGCTGGGGTGAGGGTTTTGTTGTTGATTTCGGGCGCGGGTGCTCGGCAGATTCGATTGAGGACCTGAAGGTAGTTTCCGGGTTACCATGACTGTAACAGATCTAGTTTAAAAAAACGAAGCTACATTTGTTGAGGGATGGGACGATTGAATGGAATCCGATCGTGTCGAGATGCGAACCGAGAGCACGACCGATCACCCCACGGCGAGGCGCCAAAATGTGGATGGCGGATTTGGGGCGAAATTTCTAAAGACGCTAAATAGTGGTACCCCAGTTATATCGCGAATATAACATGTTTCGGTAAAGTGGCAAAGAAAACTGTAGATAGTGGAGCTGTTCTGCTGGCACTACAACGTTCATTTCAACATGTAACCACTTGTTTAATCTCGTTCGAAAGCCCGAGTGAACGCAAATGTTCCGCGCCCTAATTAATTTGCCCTTGACCAGGCGCACGTTCGGCGATCAGTGATCACACGCAACCCTGCCTGACCGCTACTTGTTCCACGCCTGAGTGAAGCAGCAAAGCAGCAGAGCCGTGTCACGCGGTGGACGCAGCACCGTGCTCTCATCCATCCCGTTCCGTCGCACGCCCGCGTTTCACCCTACTGGCGTCTGTTCCGCCTCCCCTCGCCTTGCCTCGCCTCGCGTCGCCTGACTTGGCCCGCCATGGATGCGGCGACGATCGTGCTCTTGTCGCAGACGGACCACCATCTATTCGAGGTGGCGCACCCGCGCCTCGACGTCTTCGACTCGCCGCGCTGCACGCGCCTCGCCACGCAGGCGTGGACGGGCCGCCGCCTCGTCGCTCTCGCCGCCGCCTCGATCGAAGCCCGCCTTTGTGATCCGGACATCGCGGCCGTTCATTCCGGCTCCCACGTGGCACAGCGACCGTTGGGGTCCGACGTGGCGCGGGGCGCCATTCCGATCCGCTTGTGCGAGGACGCGTATCCCGGGTGGATATCGGCTGCTGACGTGGCGGAAGGCGCCATCCGTCGCTTGTCCATTGGCTCAGAGAGTGAAACGCTAGAGGCAGGCGATGCGGTGGATAGGGACAGGCGGAAGGGCGGAGGAGGGGAGTGTGAAGGCGGAGGCACGGCAGAGAATGGGGACATGGGGGTGGGCGTGGGGGAAGAGGCGGACTTGGCGGGGGAGAGAGAGGCGGCGGTTGCATTCGCGGAGGCGGCGAGGGCGGAGGGCGATCGGTACCTGTGGGGCGGCACCACGGGGCCGCACTTCGACTGCAGCGGCCTCGGTGCGTGCCTCCCCTTGCCTCTCGCCTCGCCTCATGGCGCCGCCCCACGCGCACAGCGCGGAGCGCAGAGCGCAGCTGCCTTGACTGCAGTGGTTGCGGTGGAAAAGCTAAGGAAGTGCGCCGGGTGGCAACGCTGCCCCCGACCCATAACCCTATCACCCTGTCACCCTTTGACCACGTGACGTGTGACTCACAAGTGGTCGCAGCAGCAGGGCGGTAGCGATGTGTGGCACAGCTGTAGCGCACCATGCAAGCTGGCTGAGTGTGCGGCGAGTGCTCATGCTGTGCGCTCTCATTCGTCTGCCATCGCCTGTGTGTATCGTCGGGTGAGGGCCGTGGTTGCTTCTCCTGTGTGCACTGCCCTGCTATGGCATGCTGTGCTGCGGCTATTCTGTGCTCAACTTCCATGCCACTGCTTGCAGCAACTGCTCTTTCTTACGAAAGCTCGACTTTTTCTCGCCCTTCTCTTCTGGATTTTTCTTCGTGGATGCGCTGTGGCATGGTGGGTGGGTGTGGTGGCATGGTGGGTGCGGTGGCATGGTGGGTGTGGTGGCATGGTGGGTGTGGTGGCATGGTGGGTGTGGTGGCATGGTGGGTGTGGTGGCATGGTGGGTGTGGTGGCATGGTGGGTGTGGTGGCATGGTGGGTGTGGTGGCATGGTGGGTGTGGTGGCATGGTGGGTGTGGTGGCATGGTGGGTGTGGTGGCATGGTGGCATGCAGTGCAGCGAGCATATGCATCGGCTGGAGTGTGGGTGCCGCGAGACGCCTTTCAGCAGGTCAGTGCGTCTGCTTCCACTCACGGGGAGGCACCTCCTCATGGCCCTCATCCTCCACGCCATTCACCTTCCACACTGCGTGCTCATCTTTGCTCTCATCCGCCTTCCTTGCCTCACTCCGCACCCGTCTCTCCCTGCCATGCCTGCAGGAGGCCTTCTGTGAGCCAGTCTGTGTGGACCGCATCGCTCGAGGCGATCTGGTACGCCATCCCACTGCAACCCCTGCCTCTTCCCTCGCCTCTCACCTGTCCCCATCTGTGCCACACATCTGTTTCCACACCCTCCCAACTCACCATACGTACCTCACACTGCACAGCACCCGACTGATGCATCGCCACTCTGCTGGCACACCCGCTTCCTTTTGTTTTGTGTAATCGACTAAAAGATCACCTGCCGCTGCCGCTCACCTTCCCATGGTGCATGCCTCACCGGCTGGCAGGTATTCTTCGGCACGACACGTGCCACACATGTCGGCATCGTCACCCACGCCAAGCTATGCCACCCACACCACCACACCCCACCACTGTCCACCGGATCCAGCCCCTCCCACGCATGTGACAGCAACCCATCCCACGCATGGCGTGTGGTGCAGGTGACGTTTCTGCACAGCTCTGGGCGTGATGACGGCCACAACGGCATCGTCTCTGACTGCCTGCGCCTGCTGCTGCCCTGCCGTCCACGTCGCGCTCGTCTGTCGCGCGGCGAGGCACGTGTGTTGATGGAGCATGCCCATGGCTCAAATGACGCGTGCGTGTGCTGCCTTGGTAAGAGCAGCTGCTCGGGCGAGGGCTTGGGTGAGGAGCAAGAGCGCATGAGTGCAGAGGGAGGCAGCAGGACGTGTGGGGCAGGCGAGGCAGGGGAGTGGAAGGTGGTGAAGCGGTGGCACGTGGGCAGCAGGGAGGAGGGGGAGCAGGGGGAGGAAGACAGCGGCCAGGCCACCGTGGAGGGCGGGCAGGGGCAACGGTGGCAGGGACGGATGACGCTCGTGGCAACGCGCACTGCAGGCAGTGAGGACGCGGTTTTGACAGAGGGAGGGGAGGGCGCAGCAGATTGGGGGAAGGGCGTGGAGGTGTGTGCGCAGGGCAGGGTGGCGCAGCACTATGGTGCTCAGCTCAGGGGCTTCGGGCGTGTGCTGCACGCCCTGCCACCATCGCTCGCCCACATCCCCCCCCACCTCGTGCTGCCGCTTCAGGTGTAGCACAGCACCACCTTGACTCCATGTGGCGGGGGACAGGTCTTGATCAAATTCTGCTTGCTGAACCCCCTCTCGCACTCGACCGTGCTCAGCGTCGACTGCCTGCCACATCTTCATCAAGTTCGGGAACGAGTGCTGCCAGTCGTTGTCACGAAGCATGTTCCCGAGTGCCTGGTGAAAGTCCTCGTTGTTGTGTTGCGAGTACATTGTTGAGGTGAACATCCAGAGCTCGCTCTGTGCTCTGGTGTAGTTGAATCCTGTTGTACGGGTATGGGTTTAAACGGGGCTATACTCGCAGCAATCGGGTGGAAGGGGGAAGATTAAACAAAACAATCCAGGAGATACACAAGCGACCAGACGAGAAGATATGAGAGTGTGCCGATTGTTACGAGAGAACACAGCAGAAGCAGATGGGAAAACAACGCTGGAGGGAATGGGAAAACAGCAGTCAGGTATACACCATGAGGTCTACGAGCATGCCTGGAAGCTTCTTCCTGTAGAGCTTGTGCAGTTTAGCCAGCCTTTTTTTGAAGTTTTCCACACGTTTGGCGTCGTCAGGTACGTATGAGGCTGCCCGAAATAGCTTACACCCCTCCAGCTCCTCCAGGTCCTTCATCCGCCACTCCAGCTCCTTGTCGACAGCACGCACAAACTTCAGCGATAGCTCGAAACAAGCCGTTACATCTCCGTCCGTCTCCTGCCCTTCGATGGGATTCTCGTGCAGCGTGTAGCCGAATTTCACGGGGTTGCCGTCGCTGTCCACGCCCTCTGCCTTCACCTCCCGCTTGTCCATCTTCTGATGGCGCTGAATGAAGTTGTTCAGTGTCATCTTCTCTCCACTCCCGAAGTGATGATCCGGCGAAAAGTTTAAGTACCGGTTCTTCATGCGCATTCGTGTCTGGTCCACGAGATGAGACACGAGCGTGACGTCGATGTGTTCGGACAGTACAGACGACAGGGTTAGCGACACACCTTTCTGGGCGTAAGCAGTCTATATACTTCAGATTCGTTTACCTGCCATTGTTGGAACCGTTGGTTCAGATGGTTCAGCTCCCACAACACGTCAGCAAGCAGCCGGAGCAACCACTGAAACTTGAATGACGTGGCAATCTTGTACAGGTCATTGTTGTACTCTTTGAGCACCACGATGGCAGCAGGCAGGATCTCGAGGAAGCGTCGGACGGCCTCACCACGTGACAGCCAGCGAACGGTGTGTATCCCTTGTGCCTCCAGGTTCGTCTTGTAGAAAACATGCTGATTGTTATGAAACTTCTCGTACTTGACGTTGGAACGCGAGATGAGATCTGCAAAGCCACGGATGACGTCGTCAACCATGTAAAGTTCTGGCACAGCATCCGCGGCATCGCTTGCGGCTAGACCCTCCCTGTCAAGTAAACAAAGTACGAGTTCTGAGTAATGAAGTTAAAAATGGTGCATCGCTTTCCCACCGAGTGCACGGAGAGACACTCACCGATGAGCGACACAAAGGTGCGGGATCCTCATGCGCAGACGGGCGACAACCCCGCTGTTCTTGTCTGTCATGACACTAGCACCGTCCGTTGAAATGGCAGAGATCTTCTTGAGATCCAAGCCAATCCCTGTCTGGTACTGCACCACAGCAGAGGTCAGAGAGGCTGCATCAGCACGGTCAACGGTGATGAGCGTTATGAACTCGTTGACCACACCCGTGCCACGAAAAAAAGTAGCGTAAACGATTAGATGTTTGCCGTGGATTCGGTCTGTGCTCTCGTCCAGGGACAAGCCAATCCAAGGCGACTCCAGCAAGTGCGATCGTTGCATTTCTTGTAGGTACGTTGAGATGGCCCTGAGATTCTCTCTGAAGCCATATCTGCACATAACAACAGAGAACAACATCGGTATATGTGAATATCACCCGTGGCTACTGTTAAAAAAACATGCTCTTACTCAGTGTAATAGGCGCCATATCCGCCACCGTTCGGAAGGTCTGGAAGGCCTTCCTTTGCCAAGAACCAGTAGAGCGGGATGAACATCGAGATTGGTGCATCCGCCTTGCAGATAAATAGGGCAATATGAAGCACGCGAATGATATGACGCGTAGACGCGTCAGTTGTTTGCCACCGAGTTAGTTTCGCATGTTTCTCCTTCTCAGCTGCAGCTTCTTCTTGGTTCTTGACTGCGCTCTTGTGGGCTCGTGTTGAGGAATGGGCCCGGACGCTTCCTATCTGCAGATCGCGGCCACCTTCACCTCTCACACCGTAGCTAGTGTGAGCTGCGGGGTCGCCATGCTGCACACAGATGTCACACTTGAGTTTTGCTTCTCCGTTAGGCATCCGAATAAGACGCAACCACTTGAATTTACCCTTCCACTCCGTCTCAAAGCGATGCTTTATGGTATCGTAGAGAACATCACCGATAGTTTTAGCAGAAGTCTCGTCTTGGGGAGCTACTGGACATTGCGGTGAAGCTTCTTTTCGGGGTGGCGGGGCTCCCCATAGCCGCTGCTGCGTGTACTTCGCTCCCACACGCGGGCGTTTCCCCGGGGTGCTGTTCACAGTGGACGGTGAACACCGCGGAGGGTCTAGACGCCTGGCACGAGAACAATTGACGGGTGCAACTCCCAGCCAGCAGGAGTCGACGACGGCTCGAACGGGTCAACAGTACCCACACTACGCACGGGAGAAGCGGGTGGTGGCAACGGCGAGATGGGCACGCTGTAGGTCTCAGCAGGGGGAGGAATAACTCCCAGCACAGAAAGGCCATTACGCACTACAGCGGGAGATTGAGGAGTTTGCTCGGCAGGCATGACTACCACAAGTGAGAGACCTCCGAGTAGGTGGTTCTCACACCGAGGGTATGAGAAGGATGAGAAAGATGGGGTGTTCTGGAAAAAACGACCCCCTCCTCCAACACCTGTGATGACCCCGGAGCACGTAATTGCATGGCTCACGGTGGTCACTTGTGGCTGCCAGGAGGTGCCCTGTTCAGCACGAAAGGAGGATGGCAGCCCCGCTGTCCTGTCGGCGCGCTACTAGACAAGTGGGGCAGTTGTCAAATGCTGCTCCGGCCTTGATTCCGTGTTGCGCTGGCACGGTGGCTGCCAGTTCCACCAATGTGGTACTTTCGCGACAGGACGCGTGGAAATTCGCGTGACTCCACCTGGGGGTGAAATTGTTATTTGCGACTGTTGGTCTTGTTGTCCGTTTTGCATTCTGTTAACGTTTGAAATCCTCGCTTGCAAGAAATCCGTATCAGCGTAACTGAAAAAGTACCCTGTACAGTCAGGGAAAAATTTGAGGCACGCTGTATTTCAAAGGGTAAAAAAAAAATTACTCTTAATGGCCTAGGGTAAAAATCCCACTACCCTGCTCGGGAAAGGGTAACTGAAATAAAGCGGCCGCCAGTCAGTGCAAAAAGTGTATTTTACCCTGATAACGAGAGCCCTCGTGGCCACCCCTTCCCCGTAGAGGAGGCTGGGCCGCGAAACTGGAGGGGTCTCGGGCGAGGGTTTCATACGGCCCTCATTCTCCACATTCTCTCCAGTTTTGTTCTTTTGTTTGGCTTGCCATGGCCATGGCGGGCCTTCCAGGCACGCACTTCCTGTTCTGCCGCCAACCTGCTACTAGAGACTGTTGGGCTGAGAAAAAGCCCTTAGGATCTTTGCAGGGCTAAACTCTGAGTAGGAAGTTGTAATAGAGGAAGCGTTTAATGATAAGTCCTTGAACCACCTTGCACTCGTATGTGAGGGCAAAGTAGACTGATTAAGACAAGGAAATACAAGGCTTTTATAAGAGTACAAGGAATACGAACAGATACAGCTTATAACTGTTTTACTGTTGCTGTTGCGGTTCGATACAGTGCCGACTCGGGCAACTGCTCAGTAACGAGTCAGTTGTTTGTCCTTCCTGTCACGCTATATTTGTCAGGTCAAAGGTCGCTCAGCTTTGACTTTCGCGTAACCTCCAGCGGTTGCTTTTCTTCTCAACCTCCAAGTGTTGACTTGCCGATGCTTTGTTGTGCTTCGCCTCATTTACGACTCAGTGTTTCGACACACAACAGAAGCGCTTGAATGACTTGATTCCAACACTCCCCTTCGCTTCTGGAGTGTCGCTATTGGTGACGTGGCTTTGTCCAGTCAGCAGCATGCAGTACTCGAACTTCTGTTTTCCGAGCTTCTTGGTCAAGTAGTCGGCTGCCATCTCGGATGTGGGGCAGTAGGACAGTTCGAGTCTCCCCTTCTCGATTTCGTCTTTCACGAAGAAATTGTGGAAAATAGAACGAGAATGAATGCACTATGAAAGAGTTGGGTACAAATAGCAAAACCCTAATTGGGTTGTACCCCCTATGGGATACCCCACTGTAGCCTACACAACAGCATAAGCTACATATATGTTCTGACACACCCCCATAGGCAAAGTGGGGGAGAACAAGGGGTCACAAGACCAGTCAAGCAAAGCAAAGCAAAGCTCAGGGTGGATCACAAAGTCACCACACAGTCCGAGCACAAGAGCAAGGCCACAAGGCCAGTTCACATGCAGTAGTACACACATATATATATAAAGCTAGACAAGCAAGAGCAGGTATATATATGCGACAGTACAAGTAAAGTCAAGAGGAGAGCAAGTGAGGCAAGACAGGCACAAGACCCAGCTGGGTGCAGAAGCGCTGATGGTCACAAGGCGCGAGTGCCTTGGTGAACACATCAGCAGTGTTGGCCTCAAAGGCCACGTACGCAAGCCGCAACTGTCCACGCTGCTGTAGCTCACGAGCAAGGAAGTAGCGAAGAGCAATGTGCTTCGTTCTGTGCTCCAGACGCTGCTCTCGACACAAGGCCAGCATGGCCTTGTTGTCTACGTACAGCACTGGAGGAGAACGAGGCGGCTCTCCAAGGTCAGTCAGCAGGTAGGTGAGCCAGCGAAGCTCCTGTGCAGCCATGGCCCCTGCGTAGATCTCAGCCTCACAACTCGAGCTGAGAACCGAAGACGAGCGAGTAGCCCGCCACGAGACAGAGCCGGAGCCAAGGCTGAAGGTGTAACCCTATGACGACCGCTGCGTAGCCTGGTCGTCAGCCCAAGAAGCGTCCGCGTGACCTGTAAGTACCACTGGACTCCGCCCTCCAAGCACTAGCCCCATGCCCGACGTACTGCACAGGTAGCGCAATACCCTCTTCGCTGCAGCCATGTGTTCTGGTCGGTGTCTCCCAGGAGCAACATAGCGTGCAAGAATGCTAAGAGGGTATGCAAGGTCAGGTCGTGTGCAGGTCATCAGGTACATGAGGCAGCCAACAAGCTCTGGGTACGGGCCACTCGACTCTACGGACTCATCCGAAGGCAGAGCTGAGAGCGAGTGGCGAGTAGACAGAGGAGTGGCCTGAGGCGAGGAGTACGTGAAGCCGAAGCGCTGAAGGACCTGCTGCACCATGTGTGACTGAGTCAAGGTAATGGTGCGGCGTGCTCTGTCCCGAGTGATCTGCAAGCCAAGGTAGCTGCACAGTTCACCCAGGTCTGTGCACGTGTGTCTCTGCAGTAGCTCGGACTTCACGTAGGCGAGTCCAGCAGTGTCCGCTGTGGCAAAGACCAAGTCGTCGACGTACACGAGGATGTAGAACGGCGGCAGTGAAGTGTCGGTGCGCAGAAACAGCGACGGGTCAGCAGTAGAAGGAGCAAACCCAAGGGCCGCAAGCGTAGTCCTCAGTGTGTCGTGCCACTCACGTGGTGCCTGGCGGAGACCGTAGACTGGCCGTCGGAGGCTCCACTGGGTGCCAGGAGGGAAAGTCCCAGTGAAGCCAGGTGGACGGCGCAGCCAAATCTCCTCGTGCAGGCTCCCCTGCAAGAACGCAGTACTGAAGTCGAGAGAGTGAAGCTCGTAGTCGCGCTGAGTGGCTATGTGCAGCAGCACCCGAAGAGT